GTGGCCGGTGGCTGCGGCGGCTGGCCTCGGAAAAACTGAGACTGGGCCTTGGCCTCCTCGTAGGTGGGGAGCTCCTCGGTGCCGTGCGGGGGCTGCGGGGCCCGGGGCTGCTTCTCCATCGCAGCACCGTCCCCTTGGTGCTCCTGCCCCTGAGGTTCCTGCCGCCCTGACGGCTGGACCATTGGCGGGTCTTCGGGCGTGAGGTTTTCTGCGGAAGAGAGAGTGCTGGCAGTGCTGTTGGAGGGGCCGGCGCTGCCCGTCGCCTGGTGCTGTATGGCCAGCAGGTTCATGTTCTCGCTGGGGTTGCCATACCTCAGCCGCTCCTGGATCAGGCGCTGCAGGACGGTGCCGGCTGCCACCTCCTCCGCCCCTCGCATCTCCGCCTCCGGGACCCGGCGGAAGCTGGGTGGGCGCAGGGTGCACAGGGCCTCCTCAGCTGGGCAGGGAGACAGAGAGGCAGCCATTAGCTCTGCTGCCTAGGAGGTCCGATTCTCCCCCCCCGCCCCCTCATTTTCCCCTCCTACACCCCATAGCTGTGATCCCATGCCCAAGGTGCATCCCAGGGGCAGTGGCCTGCCAGGGTTCCCCTGGGAGCAGAGGGGGCACAGCTGGAAGCCACCAAAGGAAGAAGGACACTGCTCCCTGCTTGTCCCCCAAAATCATATTACCCTCCCCTCCATAATACTCCATGCGCCCCATACCCACAGCCCTGAACCCCCTCTCAAGTCAATGGAGGGCCAGGCAATGTCACAGGGACATTTAGTTGTTCTGGTTTGGCTGGGATAGAATCACACAGCCCAGCCATGCCAGCCAGGCTCAAGCCGCCAGGGCAGCTGACCTGAGTTAGCTACATGTGTAGCCCATACCATGATGTTACGTTCGTTATAAAGGGAGGAGGTTTACTGAGGAGAGGGAGCTCCTGTGAGGTTATTCCTACCGGGGTTCCTTCTGCTCCTACTGAGGACTACTCTTACAACAGCATGTTCATTTGGCTAAGTATTTTCTGTTTGTACTGGTGGTGGTTTCATTAAATTTGTCGCACTTCCACCTACGGGTCCTCTCTCCTCTTTCCTGATGCCTGTACCTGACTGGTAAGGGTTCCTCAGGTGACAGAGCAACTGTTATGTTTAGCCCTGGGTACAGGCTAAATGTAGACATTGGTCTTTTCTAAAATACAAACGAAGAAAGATTTCAGTTGGAAGTGACCTACAATGATCATCTAGTCCAACTGCCTGGCCAATTCAGGGCTGACCAAAAGTTAAAGCATGTTATTAAGGGCATTGACCAAATGCCTCTTAAACACTGACAGGGTTGGGGTGTCAACCACCTCTCTAGGAAGCCTGTTCCAGTGTTTGACCTCCCCCTTGGAGATGCCTGACACAGCTTACAGAGGCAGCCTGTATGACAATACTAAATGAGATGCTACATTTTTGATGGCCAAGGTCAACTGAGTCAAACCCCCTCTTAAGTGCACCACTTGCCACCACAAAATAAAATGCAGGATGTGTCACAGAAAAACCGTGAAACTACGCTGAAAATAAGAGAGTCCTAAAAGTGTAATTAAAGAATAATCTATGCTCTGGCATCCTCCCCTAAAACTACAATTTACCTTCTGGACAATAACACTATTTCTAAGGGGGTCAATAGTAATAAATTTTCCTGGATGAGCACAAGGAAGGCATTATGATCATACACGTAACACCAGCATTTTAAAAACAACACAGATGGATTAGCCACACAACCCTCCACAGGCTACTGAAGTCACTCAGAGGCAATGACACCATTTTCGCACTATATATGCAGGGGAGCTTTCCTGGAGCTACACATCTAATGGTATATAACCACGGCTGGGAGGTTGGAATTCCTCCCACACTCATCCCAAAAGCGGTACAAGACGTCTGTCTGAACGGTGTCTGAGCCCAGAAGGGTGCTCCTGAAAGATCCCAGTGCAGGCAAAAGTGAGAACAAGCCCACAGCTCTGGACAGCGTCCTCCAGTGTCCCTAGGCAAGAAGGAGGTGCTTTTCAGTTCAGTTTTTTGAGGTCATTCTTGGCAACTTTCTCTCTCTCTCCTGCCATTTACAATTCTCGGAGGGGTTCATCAGAAGGGCATTTGTTTTTTGGCATTTGAAAGCAGTTAAAAAGCAAACTTTCTCTTGAGGTCTGGTATTTCCCTGAGGTTTCATCAGTCGCTGCACATGCTGTGGGATAACTTATATACAACCCAGATGCCAGAGGGTAAGACAAGCCTTTGACACTTAACTATGAGAATAAGTCATTTCCACTAACATTCCTGTGGCAAAGCCTTAAAGATGATTGTGGGGCTCGAGGGGGCGAGAAGATTCCCAGGCTGTTTCGCTCCATGACTGCCCTATGAGATACACCTCTCCTGCTTTCCCTAAGACAATGTTATCTGCCTGCTAGCCTGACTCGCTGGGGTTGCAGCCTGGCCACCAGCTTTCAGAGGGTCTGTCAGCTCCCCATGCCAGTGTTTGAGCCAGCAGGATGCAGACATGCATCTCCATCTACCTGTCTGCACAACAGCCAAGTGTCCATCTACTTTACATGTCCCTGCAGTTACAGCAAACTCTTACTGCTTTATTCATGTTATCACAGTGTGCAGAAGCCTCACCATACTGAACATTTTTGCAGACGTGCAATTAAGAGTCTCCCTAACACACCAGAAAGCTCACCGTCTAGGCTGTTACTAAGCCTGAGGAAAGCGGATAAAGCCAATGTCACATGGTCAAGGCAGCTCTTTATCATACATCAGAAGGATTTTCACCCCTGTGCTAGTCATCTGTCAGCATCCTTATATTCAGGAGATGTACTTTAGTCGCCTATTACTGAGGTCCAGAAGGACTGACCACAGTGAGCCTTCCACGGGGTGCCTGCAGTCCTGCTCCATCAGCAAAAAGCTATTGACCTTGGTCCAGCTGTGCAGTGAAGAGCAGCCATGACCTGAAGGACACGCAGAAATGCTGCATCCTCCACAAGCACAGGTGACAAACGATGGTGGGTTATAACACTCAAGGCAAAGGTAACTTTCCTTTGACTCTACCGAGGACAAGAAGCTGGGCTTCAACTCTGTAAATACTATTTGTAAATGCAAAAATTTCAAACTCTGTAAATCCCTATTGTCTAAATAGCTCAATTTATGCTTCAGGAGAAACCTGGAAGTAAATGTGGTGTGTTCCTATGGAAGTGTGGCCACACACTTACCAGCTTTTTCTTTGGCACTGACCGCTTCAGCTGTTAGCGAAGGAACTTCATGCCTGCCAGCAAACAACTGGTGATCCTGGTAAAGAAAGCCGGTGTCTTCCAGCACCTGGACTGGGCTGGTAGGCTTGTAACAAACAGATGTGGAGCCTGTAAGAAAAAAGAAAGGGATGTCAGTAAAGAAACAGCTTGAATGACAATATCTAAAGCGATGACTTACAACAGAAGTCCAAAAAAATTTTTTGAGCATGGCTAGGTGCCTGAGAAGCCCTGCTGAGGCCACCAAGCGAACCTCCTCATCATCCAAATAACACATTAGGTCTGAAGAACAAGAGGCAGCCACCAAGTCGTCAGTGCCATTCCATGCACCAAGCCACCCTGGCCTTCGAGGTCCCCAGTCCAGGTACAAAGCAAGGCTTATAAGAGCTAACAGTGACAACTGACAAGCTCACAAATCAAGGCATGACCCCAGGACATGAAGCCAACAGAACCAGTGTAAAACTGAAAGAGGGAGTGGGTAAAAAGGAAAGGTGAGGACCCAGCCACACATTCAATAGGGCTAAAGTCTGGGAAAGGCTTTACCACAAAACCTGCTCATGAATAATAGCTCAGCAACACAGAAAATTGCTGAGACATAAAATACAGCCAACACTATCAAGGGAGAGAGTTTATAAATCACTTTGTCCAGATGTTCTTAATATGGTAAGGAGAGGATGTAGCTGGAAGGCCACGAGAATGTGTCTGGCAGACCAACTGCACAGGAGCCGCATGCCTGAGCTTCAGCATCCCACAGACATCGACGGCTGGACTAGTCTCCCAGTCCCTTTGACAATCAGTGAACAAGAACAAGCTCTCCTGGCAAGCAACATGCCTCATCCTAAATCTGCTCTCAGGGATGGCTTTCTCTGGTGGTGCTTGTTTTAACAAGCTCACACAAAACGCATCACAGCAGCGTTAAGCCAAGAATGACATTGACTTAACCCCACAATTTAAGACAGGAATGACATTGTCTTGTGGGGTCATGCCAGACTGGACAGGGTCCAAGTGAGGTCCGTGAAGATGATCAAAGGGCTGCAGAACCTGCCCTGTGAGGAAAGGCTGGAGGAGTTAGGTCTTTTTCCCCTGGAGAAGAGAAGGCTGGGGGGTACACCTCATCACAGTGTTCCAGTACTTATCAGGCAGCTACAAAGGGGACAGAGAGTCTCTCGTCACAAAGAGCTACATGCAGAAGACAAGGGGCAACAGGTACAAGTTGCACTAAGAGGGGTTTTATCTTGACATAAGAAAGATATTTTTTACAGTGAAAACAATAATTCACTGGAACCTCCTCAGGGACATGGTAGAGTCCCCATCACTGGAGGTTTTCCACATGCGATTGAACAACCTGGGCTGTTCTATGACTCTATGATTTTCCACTTCCTATTTACTTTTCTGAGCACTACCTCACTTTTGTAAAGAAAGGCTCTTTAAGGTCCCAGCCTTGGAGGTAAGTATCTCCTAGCCCCGAGTAGCCTGGTGCAGCAGGGACACAGAGGAATCACTCTCCAATTACACCACCAGTTGCCATAAATTTTACACTAAGGAAACAGTCATCGACCTCCAGCACTGGCCACTGCTGAGGGACTGGCTTGAGAAGGAGGTGGAGGGCTCAAAGTGGCACCAGTGAGGCACCAATCCACCCCGCTCGAGCAGGAAGCCCACGAGCACAGGGACCTGCAGCACCCTGCTCTGCAGGGAAAAAACATCAGCCACGGATGACAGGGACTTATTAACCCTGACTGCTTGGTTTGTGCTCAGCTAACTGTGTGCTCACTGGCATATATTACACAGGGAAGTTGCTTTGCTCTCCTCCTTATGTACAGGTCATTGCTAATCCCACGCCCCTGCATGGAGCAGGGCAGCAGAGGGGTAGTGGGGGGCAGGACCCAGCCCCTCTTCTCTACAGGCATGAAGATACTATTTTCTTCTGTGCCCAGAGAAGAGGAAATAGGCATTTCTGCAAAATGTTAATGAATTCATCACTTCACCATTCACATTATGCATGAATGTTTATGGCAGCTATCTATATTTAGAGAGCAAGAGGGAAACATTGCTCACTTGAGTAGACCTAAGCCAAATATGTTTGTGAAAATGAGCATGGTAGACTGGTCTGGAATTCGTGCTGATGCTGATATAGACCCAAGAAAAATCTCAAGAACCCCAATTTCCAACATTATTACCCTATTCTGGTACAGAATAGCATTAAAGACACCCTTCACTGCTCCTCCACACACACAGTCCTGCCTTGGAATTCGGAATCATGTAGGAAACAAGGGAGTTTTGAGCCCGGGCTTGTTCTGTGAATAAAAAGTGGATTGGGATGAAACAACGAAAATCGACACACCCAAGGACAATGCACGGTTTCAAGCATTACAGGCAACCTGAACGGGCAGCGGCTACCAGCTTGGCCTTACCACTCACCAAACACTTTAAAAGAAAGAAACTGCTAGTAAGAGTGAACACTCGCCTTCTGAATTTTGAGTCTGTAGGCACCCTTGGGTGGTGGTTTAAAATTTTCAGAGATGCAAAATGGAGAATAAAGACTTGTTTTTTCTGCAACAAGAGCAGAAATTCTCACCCAACTACTTGTCTTTGGTGGCCACAGCAAAGCAATATTCTACAAAAATCAGGACTGGTAAATGTCGGCATCTGCCAAACTGCTCAGTTTCTCGTCTCTGTTATATCAGAGTCAAAACCAAGTGGCTCCAACCCAGGCAGAAATCACTGCACTTTGCTGTACCCATGTTGATGTTTTATCACCGTAAAATGATGTAATAATGGTTTATGATGTTAAAAATGATGTAATGATATTTTATGTTCATTCTCAGTAGGTTTTAATTAAACGTCAGCTATAACTGGCATAGAAAGCCAGTTTATGTGTAAAACAGATAACGGTTGTCGAAAGATCAGTGCTTGGCATGCGGCCACAATCCAGATCACGGGCAATAAGGCACCACTTGAAAGCTTAGTGAAGCCTCAGGAGCCGTTTGGAGCAAGGAACGAGCCTTTTTTCTTTCCCCTTTGCTGTCACTGGAGCTAGTTTGCTACACCCAGGTCTGTTGGGGTGCAAGGTGCCCATCCGATGCTCAGACACTTGCTCCTTCCCCAGACCTCCCCATTCTTCTACAGTGCTCACCAAAAAATGCAATTTTCATCCCTATAACTGAATCGTGGTGCCAGCGTAGTGGTGCCTGGGGGCCACGGGTAAGCAGCCAGTTGAGGGCAACCTAGGATGGAGACCTTGCTACACCCAGGTCTGTTGGGGTGCAAGGTGCCCATCCGATGCTCAGACACTTGCTCCTTCCCCAGACCTCCCCATTCTTCTACAGTGCTCACCAAAAAATGCAATTTTCATCCCTATAACTGAATCGTGGTGCCAGCGTAGTGGTGCCTGGGGGCCACGGGTAAGCAGCCAGTTGAGGGCAACCTAGGATGGAGACCATCACCCCCACAAGGACATGTCCCCGAGGAAGGGCTTTCTACTCCCATCTAGCCCAAACGCCCGAAGCCACAAACCATGGCTGCTGCCCTGTGCTTTGCCACTGCCAAGAAGAGCCGACCCCATCACCTCTGTAACTGCCTGCAGGCTGCTGCCAGCCGTTCCTTCCCCCTCCCAAAGCCAGCCCAGCCCCCTCGGCCCAGCATGTCAGGATACAGCCCAGTCCATAGATGTCACATCTTCAACTACCATACGTCCAGTGTATTTTACAGCCAAACCTGTAAGACATGACCACATTTCTGGCCCGGTTCAGTCCTTCCTGAACTGGACAGCTGCTCCAGGTCTTCATTGCCGCATCTCCACTGACTCTCCCACATTTAAGTGACTGCCTCACCCAAATTCATTTGTTTTCCTTAAGATAAACATGCATTGCACCGTACAGAAGCAGACATATTATCCTGGAGGGTTACTACACAGCAGTGCAACTCATTTGAAGATTCAGAACTATTTCAGTGAATCATTTGCTAAGATTAACACCAGACAGTCAGCAAAGACCCAGAGACAGAGAAGCAACGCTTAAATATTTCCTGTTTCTGATGTGGTTTCAGTCTGGTTTTAAAAAGGATCTAAAGCAAAACCTCATAGGAAGCTCATTGCTGCGACATTACAGGAAAGCCATGTTTTTAGAGCAATAACAGCATCCCCAAGAAGCAAATTTCCTCCTCACAAAAATAGCCAGAGAAGATGGTTTTCTTACAGCCAAACTGTACTACTACTCGTGTCTTCAGTAAAACACCAGAAAATGCCCATTGTGCAATGATGTTTTGCTGCTATTTAGAGGCAACACCTCGAGGCAGTGCCTGGGTGATGAGTTTCTGCATCACACCCTGCTGCCCGCCCGAGTACTGCTCTGTGGCTGCCTGCAGCACAGCCCGCACTGCCAGCACATACAGCTCCTCCTCTGCCACTCAAAAGCCACCCAGCCAAACAAAAACAAAGAGTTGTCCTCCAAAAAATCCTCTTCCAATTTGTACCATACTGACCGAGCAGTTTGAAAGAGACGGAAGCATTTCAAATACCATCCAAACCAATCAACTGAAATTAAAAAGTAAGTAAGACGGCTTTACACTTTCCTATAAACTCTACTGTGGTTTGTAAGGGAGGTCCAAAAATGACAAAACAAAAATGACATCGTTTCCAAGCCCACATCTGTCCTTCTGTGTCATAGCCAAGCCAGAAAGGAGTATAAATACCTTATTCCACATTTAAAACATTTTCTCTGCCCTGTCACTGCATAAAAATCTCAGGTCAACAAGAAAGGAAAATAATTATTTAAGGAAACTAACAAAAGGACGGTCAAAGCGCTCCAGGGTCCCAGGGGCTGCCCACAGGCTGTGCCAAGAATTCCCCAGGGTGGACTCATCAGTCCCTCTAACAGGTTGCACGGACCCTCCGTCGAGGCTGGACACCCCTCCATGTGCAGCCCGGCCTGTGAACCTTACTCTCTCTCCTCATCAGTCCAGTTTTGAGAGGGGGGGATTACCACACCCCAGCCACACAACTGTGCTTCTCTCCCAAGGCTGGGAGGCAGATTTGAGTTTCCTTCAGCTCAGAAAAAATTAACTTGCTTGTCCCATTTCTTGGTTGACCTACAAGAAGGAGACACCACTTC